GAAGAGAAGGCTGAGAGGAGATATGATAGCCATGTATAAATATGTGAGAGGAAGCCACAGGGAGGAGGGAGCAAGCTTGTTTTCTGCTTCCTTGGAGACTAGGACAGAACAATGGCTTCAAACTACAAGAAAGGAGATTCCATCTGAACATGAGGAAGAACTTCCTGACTGTGAGAGCCGTTCAGCAGTGGAACTCTCTGCCCCGGAGTGTGGTGGAGGCTCCTTCTTTGGAAGCTTTTAAACAGAGGCTGGAGGGCCATCTGTCAGGGGTGATTTGAATGCAATATTCCTGCTTCTTGGCAGGGGGTTGGACTGGATGGCCCATGAGGTCTCTTCCAACTCTTTGATTCTATGATTCTATGATTATAAGCTCCAGTAAATTCAATATGGAAGAACAATGCCATTTAAATTAAATAAATATTTCTAAATTCGTGAGAAAGTAGGTGTGAGTCTTGCCATATTTTAAAAAACCTTGCTTTGTTTTGCTCTGCATCAAATTGTCTTCCCTTCCTACTGATGTATGATTGGCATCCATACAAAGAAACTGACAAAGAAATCTCCCTAAAAGTCTTGTAATTACATCTAGCTGAGCCCATACATTTTTCCAAAGGATGGGTATGTGCCTCCAACTCAATCACATTGATTGTCAAGTTCTAAGGCACACCAAGAGAGCATTAGCGCCCATGGCCTCTGTATAAAAAGCACATAATAAGCTACATATTTCAAAATGGCAGGCAATCATTTTCAGCTTCCAAACTCCCCACAAAACACCCCACCAACCTATTCTATTCCCCCATTTATAGCTCTAATTTCATAAATGAAATTAATAAAGTGCAGCTTCAGCTGAGGAGGCTGCTCAAAGAGGAAGACTACTCTGGAGCAAGATTAATGGCTTTCTTTTTCCAGCGAGTCACTGTAGAAAGTGTGTGGTTTTGAAGCCTCAAAAACAAAACCTTGCTTGAAAGGCTTGAGGTCTGAATGCCACAGAACTTTTGACAGATTTATCTGAAATATGTCTTTTCCCCTTGGTTTGCAAGAGCAGAGCCAAACTTGGTTAGATGCCAAGACTTTCAAATCATGGGATTAGGATGCGATTTCTTTCTTTGTGTATGTATGTATGTATATATGTATGTATGTATGTATGTATGCAAAACAGAGGCATATGCAACTATGGCACTGAGTTTTGGAAAATAAAGTACAGTCAAAAGAATGGGTGCTCTGAAGCAACCCCTAAAATGTGCAATGTTATGGCACTTCTTAGGGTGCATCTACACTGTGGAATTAATGCAGTTTTACACCACTTGAACTGCCATGGCTCAAAGTAATGGGAGTTGGAATTTGGAGGGACACCAGAATTCTTTGAAAGGGAAGGCTAATGGCCTTGTAAAATGACAACTCCTAAGATTCGATTGCATTGAACCATGACAGTTAATGTGGTATCATTCATTTTTCAAGTCAAACTACACAAAGAAAGGTGTATGTTATAGGTTTCTGCAGTCTGGGAAGACTGCAATCTGTTTTGGTGTCCCAGATTTCAGTGGAGGTCCTGATCTGTTTTTTGGAAGATTCCTGAATTGAGGACAGAAATCCTTTTTCGGTCCGGGAAGTCAAAAGATTTGTTTTCTATGCGGCTCTTTATGGGGGGGGGGGCATAGGCTCCCCTTCCCATCATTTGAGGCATTGTATTGTCGAAGGCTTTCATGGCTGGAATCACTATGTTCTTGTGGGTTTTTTTCAGGCTATAGGGCCATGTTCTAGAGGCATTTCTCTTGACGTTTCGACTACCTCTGAGGATGCTTGCCATAGATGTAGGCAAAACGTCAGGATTTGATGCCTCAACAATTATAACAAATAAAACAATCATAATTTATTTATTTATTATTTATTTCGAGGTTTTATATACCGACCCTCTCACCTTCAAAGAGGGATTCGGACCGGTTCACAACATGTGTTAACATACAAAGAATATACAATAACAACACAATGCCACTTCATTACACGATTAAAATATCAGCACCATACACATCTTAACACCTCTCAACAAAAGATTTTCCCAGGCTCAGCCAGGCTTTCAAATGCTAATGAAGGTGATCAGTTGAAACATTCACACCTAGCTCCGGCAGAGAAGAGCTCTTTGTCCCACCCCAGCCATTCCACAGATATATAAACCCATTGTCCTAATTCCAACAGACCTCACTACCTCTGAGGATGCTTGCCATAGATGCAGGCGAAACGTCAGGAGAAATGCCTCTAGAACATGGCCCTATAGCCCGAAAAAACCCACAAGAACCTATTTGAGGCATTGTTTGTCCTTATATCCTTCATTAAGACCTGGATTAAAAGCATCAGAGTTAAGATACCGCTCTTTCTGAGATCCTTTCCCTTCTGTCTGTAGATGAGACTAGGTTTAATGCTTAGTTAAAGCTGATTTTACTCTAGAGGAGACAGGCGTTGCTGGTGCTCGATGCTCAATCCCTGCAGCATGCAACTTTCCAAGCATTTTAAGGAAACTTCTCAGCTTCCGTGGAAAGGATGAACAATCGACCTGCAGCTATCTTACCCCGGGCTTCCTTAAAAAAGCCTTCCTTCCAACTTCCCAGGGAAGGAAGAACAATCAACCTGGAGCTATCTTACCCCGGGCTTCCTTTAAAAAGCCCTCTCTTTTCTTTTGATTTGCAGGCTCTGGAGTAGTGCCTTTCCCCCCTCACACTTCAATCTTGTTTCTGCTTTGGGTTAGTAGTTAAAGTTGTTTCTAATCTGGAGTAGAGAGGTGCTGCAGGAGCGCACAGTGGTCTCTTACTGTAGCACACAGTTTTCCAAGTCATTTTAAAGTTGCTTCCCCACTTCTCAGGGAAGGAAGAGCAATCGACCTGGAGCTATTCTACCCTGGGCTTCCTTTAAAAAGTCTTCTCTTTTCTCTTGATTTGCAGGCCCTGAAGTGGTGCCTTTCCCCCTCTTGCACTTTTCCTTTTAGCAGCTGCCTCCCTCCTGTACTTTACTTGTAAACAAAGGCAGCTGGTTTTAGACAGCCACTGATCTGTTGTGCCGAAAAAAACATGGAAGCCGAGCCCTTGTCATTACAGTCATCTGAAAAAGCCGGACCAGCCAGATTAGCCAAAGGGAACTGACCAAATTGAATCCGTGCATAACCCTAGTATGTTATACAAAATTGTGCCTGTTATGAATTTTTTTGCACATTTTCGTGATTTTTCTTAAGAATTGAAGATAGAAACAGAATAGAACAGAGAACTATGAACAAAGACATGCAAAACTGGAAGGAATTAAGAATGATCATTGTTGTTAAGAATTAAGAATGATTCATTGTTGTTATATTCTCAACTACCGACAGAAGCATTCTTGATTTCGCTTTCCTGTCTTGCACACTTCAAAATATTGAAAAAAATTAAAATAGGGGTGAGAAACCATGGGCTGCATATGCCCACCATCCCCTGCTCTCCAAGCTTCTGAATTCTCCCCTTTCAGGGTGGAAAGAAATCAACTCCACTTTCGGCCCCAGAGCAGCTTTCCATTCTTAGAAGCCCAGATGACGCAAAACCTGAACTCTTCCCAGTCTCAACTTCTAAAATTAAGCAGCAAGCAGAACACAGTTGCATTTGGTTGGTTTTGGATATATATGGTGGCTGATTATCATTTTGCTAAATATATATTTATTTATTATTATTTATTTATTTACTTTATTTATATACCGCTTTTCTCAGCCCTCAGGCAACTCAAAGCGGTGAACAACATCAATACAAAACATCACAAGACAAGTGTAGGGCAATTAAAAACAATTGTAACATAAATCATTAAACATCCATATAACAGTCATTAGCGCCTCAACAGTAAAATCAGAATCCAGTCTCATCATCCATTATTCCATATTCCTATGTTCAATTACACTGTTTATTCAAATGCTTGTTTGAACAGCCAGGTCTTCACTTTCCTCCGAAATGCCAGCAAGGAGGGGGCCGATCTGATATCTGCAGGCAGGGTGTTCCACAGCCGAGGGGCCACTACCGAGAAGACCCTGTCTCTCGTCCCCGCCAAGTGCACCTGTGATGCAGGCGGGACAGAGAGCAGGGCCTCCCCAGATGATCTTAGTGTCCTAGCCAATTCATAGGAGGAGATGCGTTCGGAGAGGTAAGTAGGGCCAGAACCGTTTAGGGCTTTATAGGCTAATGCCAGCACTTTGAATTGTGCCCGGTAGCAAACTGGCAGCCAGTGGAGCTGGCGCAACAGAGGAGTAGTATACTCCCTGAGTGCTGCTCCTGTTAGCAACCTGGCTGCCGAACGCTGGACCATTTGAAGCTTCCGAGCAGTCTTCAAAGGCAACCCCACGTAGAGCGTTGCAGTAGTCTATATGGGATGTAACCAGAGCGTGGACTACCGTGGCCAAGTCAGACTTCCCAAGGTAGAGAGAAAGAGACTTAAGACTTGTGTTTGCAATATTTATCCATAGTTGACCCCACAGAAACTTTAAGGACAAAGATAAACATTTGCTTATGCGCATAATTGAAGAAATATAGTAGTTAGCCAAGTCTACATCAGGATACAAAAACAATGGTCATGGTCACGATTTTTTCTTTTAATCTGGAAGCAAGGAGGCTTCATATAAAACACACTCACCTGGTCTTCATTTTTTTGGGCCATCCCTTGTGTGAAAAACATACCTTGCCCAAAAGACTGGTATTCCACCCCACATTATATTGGAGAACTTGGCCAGTTCAGAACAAATGATGGAACAGAGAGGATAGAAGAAACACGAACATGAAGTTGGTGCGAGGTGACGTCTCAAATACATTTGCTCAGCCTAAATTTCTAGTCAGATTTTTAGGCGAGAGTATTGTGAGCATGGAGAGAAAATGTGATCTAAGTTGACACTTGCACTCTCTTTAGGGATGTGGTGGGTGTATGCCTGTCTAGTGTGTGTCTTTCGGCTGGGTCTGTAACACAAAGACAAACGGCGGGGAAGAAAAGAGGAAGGAAGACCACCATACCTTTCACTACCTTATCCAGATAGTGAGCTTGGGAGATAAAAGACAGGACATGTAAAGTAGGATTGAATCAAGTGCAGTACAGCTTCGTACACGACAGTGCGGATGCAAGAGAGGCAAAGGGTAGGGATCAAAAGGGGGAGGGAGGGGATGGCAGACAACGACGACAACAATAACGGCATCAGCAGGAACAACAACAATGCAAGCCTTTAGTACAGGGGAGTGAGATGAAAAAGGGCAGGGCAGCAACACTTTCAGTCACAAAATTAAAAAAAGTACACTTTCTGAGAAGACAAGGGGGAAAAAAGATGGGAATAAAGGGTCACTGATTTTATGGTGTTTTCCACAATTCTAGCAACCATTCCACGTGGCCAACAATAATGTATTTTCTCACTTTTCTTTTTCCCACTTATCATTCATTGATAAATCTAGACATAGTTTTCTAAGATCTACAGAGACACTCGCTGGAACACCTCAGCAAGCGAGAGTCCAAAAGTGGCAGGCTCAAACCCAGGACCTCAACCAATGGCTGATACCAAATGAGAGACTCCTTCCTGGGCACACAGAAGACTGGGCGACTTGGAAGGCATTGAACAGACTGCGCTCTGGCACCACGAGATGCAGAGCCAACCTTCAGAATGGGGCCACAAAGTGGAATCCTCGACATGCGAGTGTGGAGAAGAGCAAACCACTGACCACCTGCTGCAATGCAACCTGAGCCCTGCCACATGCACAATGGAGGACCTTCTTGCAGCAACACCGGAAGCACTCCAAGTGGGCAGATACTGGTCAAAGGACATTTAACCAGCTACCAAACTCACAAGTTGTGTATTTTTCTGTTTGTTTGCTTTGTTCTGTTAGAAATGTAATATAATGGACTGGTTGCTCTGACACGACAAATAAAATAAATTCATTGATAGAGCTAAATCATTATGGAACATCACAGCACAGGGCAAAGAAGGAAATCTCTGTCCAAAGAACCCTGACACCCAAATTACTTCCTTTCCATTGTTTCCATCCTTTTTGGCAGTACAGTATCCTTAGAATTTCTGCCTATGATGATAGGCATATGTTAAATCTGATGCATATTTAGTACATTCTATAACTCAGAAATTCTCAGACTGTACTCCTCCAGATGTTTTGGACTTCAGCGCCCAGAAATCTCAGCAAGTTTACCAGGTGTTAGGAATTATGGGAACTGAAGTCCAAAACACCTGGAGGAGCATAGTTTGAGAAACGATGTTATAACTGAAATGGCATGAAAGCAGCAGAACATCGAATGTGTTTCTGCTTTCCTCTAACTACACAATCCATTTAGGAAGTATTTTTTTCTCTCCCCAGCCCCATCTGGAAAGGCTCATCGCCAGTGGAGAAGACCTAAACCTCTCCAATGTCTGCTTTTAATTTTTGTACTTTGCTTTAGTATCCAAGTTGATTTTAGAAAACTCACTGAGATTCCTTTTTTGGTCCTTTTTAAACTCCTAACAAGGTGAGGGGAGGAGGGATGCTTTAAAATTAAAAACCAGAAGGGCTTTGTTTCCTGATCTGGATCGAGGACAGCAGGGGACATCTCTTATGACCTCATCAGATGAAGGCGAAATTGGCAGCATGTGCTGGTTCACCTTCTCCTTTATGATGGCGCCTGCTAGCTCCATTGTAAAGGAAATGGTGAACTGGCACATGTCATGGTGGCAGCAATACAGGAAGCTTCCCATGTTGCCTTGGATCAATGGGGGATGGGGGTGGGGAAGCTGGGCAGTGGACACTTCCTCCTGTGGGATGAGGATGTCGGTGAGTCGGGCGATGAGGGGCGTGAGGTGACAGGAAGCCCGGCGATGGACACTTCTCTCTGTAGGATGAGGATGTCGGTGAGTCGGGCGATGAGGGGCATGAGATGACAGGTGATAGGAAGCTGGGAAGTGGACACTTCTCCCTACGGGGTGAGGATGTCAGTGAGTTGGGTAATGAAGGGCATGAGATGACAGGTGACAGGAAGGCAGGCAGTGGACACTTCCCTCTGTGGGATGAAGATATTGTTGAGTCGGATGATGAGGGGCATGAGGTGACAGGTGACAGGAAGCCGGGTGGTGGACATTTCTCCCTTTGGGATGAGGATGTTGGTGAGTTGGGTGATGAGGGGCGTGAGCTGACTGGTGACAGGAAGGCGGACAGTGGACACTTCCCCCTGTGGGATGAGGATATTGGTGAGTCGGGTGATGAGGGGCAAGAGGTGACAGGTGACAGGAAGGCGGGTGGTGGACACTTCCCCCTGTGGGATGAGGATATTGGTGAGTTGGGCGATGAGGGGCATGAGGTGACAGGTGACAGGAACCCGGGCGGTGGACACTTCTGCCTGTGGGATGAGGATGTTGGTGAGTCGGGCGATGAGGGGCGTGAGGTGACATGAAGCCCGGTGATGGACACTTCCTCTGTTGGATGAGGATGTCGGTGAGTCGGGCAATGAGGGGCGTGAAGTGACAGGTGACAGGGAGCCGGGCAGTGGACACTTCCCCCTGTGGGATGAGGATGTCGGTGAGTTAGGTTATGAAGGGCATGAGGTGACAGGAAGGCGAGCAGTGGACACTTCCCCTTGTAGGATGAGGATATTGGTGAGTCAGACAATGAGGGGTGTGAGGTGACAGGTTTGCCACACCCCTGGATGGGCATAATCAGAATCGCCATAATCAGAATCGCCATTCCATCAGAATCTGCAGTGATTCTGGTGGCACTTGTGAAGAAGTCCTGGATACTCTCTTTAGATCTCCTCTAAGTAGGAAACAAAGCATAAAGAGCAGTGGTTCTCAACCTGTGGGTCCCAAAGGTGTTTTGGTCTACAACTCCCAGAAATCACAGCCAGTTTACCACTGGTTAGGATTTCTGGGAGTTGAAACATCTGGGGACCCACAGGTTGAGAACCACTGATAGAGAGTGTCTCCAGACTGCTCTTTGCAAAGCTGGGGTTGGGTTATTCAGGGCTAGGTTGTGAAGTATTATCTCGACAGACTTGTGACCACTTAAACTAGGGATGTTAAGGAGGAGAAAGTGATGGATAATTCCGAGAGATATAACCTACATTGACTATAAGACTGATATACAGCAGAGCCAAGGGTCTGCTGTAGACCATAGAAGGTCTTTTTTTGGAATGGAGGAAAGTTTGCCTTGTGCTTTTTCCATGCAACCGCCTCCGACTGACTGCTTTGACACGATGAATTAACCTCTCGAAAGGGGGAGGCCAAGTACGCCGATGATATGAAGGGGTTCAGCAGAAGAAAAGAGAGTTTAAAGTGGTTGGCTTAAGGTCAGAGAGAGAAAGCAACCAAGAGAGAGCAAATGAGATGGGGAGGAGGAGGAGGGGGGAGATGAGTGAAGGAGAGAGAAAGAATATAAAACGGATCCAGAAATTTTAGCTCGCAGTGGTGTGACTGAACAGCTCCTTTTCTTGAAAGCAATTGGCAACTCCAGATGCAAGGAAAAGTGCTTTTGCGGGGAGAGGTTTTGTGTGTGTGTGTGATTTTCAGATAAAGCTCTCATTTGCTCTCTTCCTGCCAAGTGCCTTGCTCTTATTTATAATGTTCTGGAGTGCGAATAGGGGAGGGTTGCTTCTCTGGCTTGGGCACCATTCCCACGGTCCTTTCAATCGGCCTCTCAGATGACTCCTTGCGTTTTCCATTTCTTTCTCTACTCCTCCCAAAGTGGGCTTAGGGGAAGACCACCCACCTAGAAGGGTCACAACCTTTGAAAGTATTTGGGGGGCCACCCCCTCCTTTGGAGTCTTGACTCCACTATGTCTACAATGGGTAGTAGGTAGGTCAAACGCACAGGATTCATATTTTGAAGAGGAAATGTAATTGATTACTAAAGTTTGGCTGAATTAGGGGAAATTGTCAAGTTTCTTGGCAGGTTAGAATAGCTGATTGCATTCATGGCAGATAGCTTCACTACAGTTCCCAGAAAGGGAAATGGTGGGAAAGATTATATATTCACCTGGTTGGGTATCATAGTTTTATGAGACTGCGATCTTTCTTGGGAATGTATTGTCGAAGGCTTTCATTGCTGGAATCACTGGGTTGTTGTAGGTTTTTTGGGCTATATGGCCATGTTCTAGAAGCATTCTCTCCCAATGTTTCACCTGCATCTAAGGCAAGCATCCTCAGAGGTTGTGAGGTCTGTTGGAAACTAGGAAAATTTTGTTTATATATCTGTGGAAGTTCCAGGGTGGGACCTCACAACCTCTGAGGATGCTTGCCATAGATGCAGGTGAAACGTCAGGAGAGAATGCTTCTAGAACATGGCCATATAGCCCGAAAACCTACAACAACCCAGTTTCTTGGGAATCTGTCAAGATGCACAATCTACTAAATCACATAGGGTGGCTTTTGTGATCATGGAATAGTGGTTTGAATATTAAACTAAGGTTTCAAGACAACTGGATCTGAATTCTTTCTAAAGTATAGAAACCCACTAGGTGACCTTGGGCAAGTCACACTCAGAAGAAGACAATGACAAACCTCTTCAGAATACATTTTGCCAAGAAATCCCTTGATACACTTGCCCAAGGGTTGCTTTAAACTGACAATGAATTGGAGGCATGCTTGAAGTGACTGGCTTGCCCTTGAAGGAGCTGGGGTTGGTGATGCTTTGAACTGGATTATATGAGTCCACACTGCCATATAATCCAGTTTAAAGCAGGTAATCTGGATTCAGAAACTGGATTATATGGCAGTGTAGATGGGGTCTGAATCATCAGAGAGCAAATGTGTTGCCCTTGTGAGCAAGTTTTGATTGTGGGTTAGGGATGCTCAACACGTACCTGCCCAATCGCTTTCACCAGATTCAAGGTAAACAAAAGAAAGCGCTATTCTAACTACAATATTGAAAGGTGTGAGGACATCACATCACCAGATTATGAGTTTTCCCAGCCCTGATGGTAGCAGTGGAGCTGGGTTGGGCAAACATCCAACTCTGATGGATAGATATATTTTGCACTGCAATCTATGTCAGAGGAAAAAGATGGGAGATGGCAGCGAATG